GGGGGGCGGGCGGCGCGCGGCTGCGGCGGGCGCCCCCCAGCGCGCGCACGGCGGAGCATGGCGGCGGCGGCGCGGCCGGCTCCCCGCGGCCCTGCCCGCTGGCTCCAGTGCGGGCCCGAGAGCAACAGGTTAAGCCGGCGAGACGTCAGCGCGCCCCCTTCCCGCCCCCTGATTCCTCCCCCGCCTCGCGCTGGCCTCCCCTCCCTCCCTCCGTCCCCCGCGGCTCCGGGTTCCCGGACGCTCAGGCCGCGTTCTTTTGTCATTGTGACGTCACAAAGGGACGGGCCCGGGTGGAACCTTCTCCTCCTCCGTGACGTCAAAAGTCGGGCGGGAGGTTCCAGCGCGGCGGGGCTGCGGGGGAGGAGGGAGCGGCGCGGAGGCGGGGGCTGCCGCGTGGGAGGAGGAAGTGGAGGAGGAGGAGGATGCGACCGGCCTCGGCCTTCCGCAGCGAAACGCCGCGCTTCCCTCCAGGTGAGCGCGGAGAGCCTGTGGGCCCCCTGCGAGCGACCCCGACCCAGCTGATTCCACTTAGGGGGTGGGGAGCAGGGCGGAGACGTTTTCTGTCTGCAGAAACGTTTTCGTTTCCTCTGTTTCCAGGTCTGCTGATGCCGTGGCATTACTGTGGTGGTGGTCGTGTTCTCTCGTCAACGCTTTTGAAAAGCAGGGAAACTTCATGCAGGGAAGCTTGGCTTTGTAGGAGAACCGTGTTGTGGATTTGGCCACCTTGTCACTTTTAAGTCGTGTTGGGGGTGTCTCGGCAGGATGTGGCGGGATGCCTTTCTGGGTGATGTTGCACAGCATCAACTGTTGCTCTTTATGGATGCCTTGAAACACCAGAGTGGCACTTCTTCGCTGTACCAGCTCTAGGCCTATTGAGTATTTTAGGGGGTGGGGCAGACGGGGGAAGACTGTCATTGATGCGCGTGCTTGAAAGAGCACTGGACTGCGAGTCTAAGGTGTTCTGGGTTTAGTTCTTGAGAACCGGAGAACAAGAGGCTGGAAATCTGGGTCTGTTTACTCTTCTGTAAAATGGAAAAAGTAATACGTGCCTTTGCCACTTCACTTTATCTGAGGTCACGTGCGTGAGATAATGTCCGTGGAAGATGTAAAACAGTATGTATGTTCTTTCATTGTAAGGTGGAATTATTACTTGAGCTCGTGGAAGGCAGCACATTTCCTGCAAGTAGTCTCAAAAGCCTTAGATGCCTGCTGCGTTCCCGTTTAGTTTATTGCTTTAGCAAAGCAGAGTTTGGGGGTGGGATTGTAGATGGCAGGCTTTGGGAGAAATGATTGTTATATTTCATATTAAATGACGTCCTTGAGAAACTCATAAATTGCACTGTAATCCTGTCTTAATTGCTGGGTACGATTCCCGCTACAATACCTTAAATAACTGAAAACATTTGCCTTTCAAAGCCCTAATTCACTTGGACAATAAAAACAGTTGCATGTTTTGCTCTATGGGTATTTTATGCCATTTCCATCACTCCACTGGTTGGTTATTCCTAGGCAGAATAACAGATGATACCCAGGTTGCGAAAGCATTTGATCTTTGATGCTTTATAGCAGGTATGAGTTTGAAATAAAAATCTCTGCCACATGAAGATATGATTCATACAGTTAGCGTGAAAACAGATTACCAGTTTGATTCCTAGGACAGCTCAAGCAGAATTTGTAACACTAGGCTGTAAATTTTAAGTACCTAATTTTCTGAGTTAAAGGTGCAGTATGATTGAAAAAACTGGGAAAAGTTTGTGTTACCAGATTCAAAAGTGGGATTTACTATAATTACATAAAATTGTAAAGAAAAAAATAGAAGGACACCAAAATGTAGTGGTAGGATTTATGAGCTTCTGTCCCCCGCGGTGCCTCCCTTCCCCCCCATTTTACACCCAATTGAATTATTTTACAGTTCTGGGGGAAAAAATGTGTACACATTATTTAATTGCTACACTTTTCCTTTTTTAAAAAATATTTATCGATTAACAAATATTTATCGAGTATATGTGGTGTACTGCTATAAAGTGAACGGTGGTTTTTTAAAAAAAGATTTTATTTTGGTTTTGGCTGCATTGGGTCTTTGTTGCTGTGAGCGGTCTTTTCTCTTGTTGCAGTGAGCCGGGGCTACTCTTCATTGCGGTGCGCGGGCTTCTCGTTGCAGTGGCTTCTCTTGTTGTGGAGCACGGGCTCTAGGCACGCAGGCTCAGTAGTTGTGGCGTATGGGCTTAAGTTGCTCCGTGGCATGTGGCATTTTCCCGGACCAGGGCTCGAACCCGTGTCCCCTGCATTGGCAGGCCGACTCCTAACCACTGCGCTGCCAGAGAAGCCCAGCTTTTCCTTTTTTGAGCTGTTCATGTGGCTTGCTTTCTGTCTGTCTCTAGTAGTGGAGAAAACTTTTCTCTTTGTTACATAGTCTCGGGCAGAGACAATTTAGCAACTGTCACTGTCTGGAGAGATTATAGAAGGAATATTGTCAACTTAAGAGTCCAAAGTGTGTCACTGAAATTAAAAAAAAATTATGTTTAAAAATAATCCAATTTGAGTTATTATTACTTCGGTTATTATTACTTTACTGTAGACCTGACTTGTGTGTCACCCATAGCCATTGGCCCAAATAGCCAGTTAGAATTATTTGGTACTTAGATGGTTTAATGGCTGTTTCCTCTGTCATAGGAGGTTAGACCAGTTCCTGTTGCTGGGCTGAGGGCTATTGACTTACAGACGTCTTGGAAATAACTCCAGTGCTAATACATATCCTGTTCCAAAGGTTATTTAAACTTTCCTCCTTCAGAAAGAGAAAATCTTGTGGAGTATGTAACCAATGTTTCTTAGATTCAAAATAGAACCCTTTTCTTCCTTTCAAAGACGACATGGGGAAGTCATATTAAGCCCAGTACATTAAAACACCCGGTAAAGGCTAAGCTGGACTTTTTTTTTTTTAATTTAATGATAGTTTTATTTAACCTTAGTATAATAAAAATATTATCTTAACATGTAATCAGTACAAAAGTTGCTAAGATCTTTTGCCTTCTGTTTTCATCTTGTGTCTTTGAAATCTGGTGTATT